ATGGCATAATGATGTTCCAAAAAGAGCAAATGGCCATTAGATTTCAGTAGTGAAGGAGTCTGGATTGTTTTTGTTGTTATTCTTTTTTTCACTTTGGCATGACAAAGCCCTCTGGGTACGTGAGAAAAGATAATGACATTTTATCCTAAAACCAACCCACATTCCATTCTCAGGCCCTCCTTTTTATAAAAGCTCTCCTTAAAAAAAAATAAAAACCAATGAAAGCTTTTGTTTTTGTTTTTTTTTAGAAACAAGGTCTCTGTCACCCAGGCTGGAGTGCAGTGGCAGGGGCACAATCCTAGCTCATTGCAGCCTTCGTGTACACCTGCTTTCAGAAAAAGTGACATTCAAAAATCAGAACTCAGAGAAAAGATCAGTTAGCAGAGGTCCCCAGCCTATGATGAGTTGTATGATTATTTCATTATATATCACAATGCAATAATAATAGAAATCAAGTGCACAATAAATGTCATGCGCTTGAATCATCCCGAAACCATCCCCTCCCCACACCCCAGTCTGTGGAAAAATTGTCTTCCATGAAAACGGTCCCTGATGCCAAAAAGGTTGGGGACCACTGATTTAGAGGATTATTCATATCTTAATTTTAAGTAAGGTATATCTTAAATTACAAGTGTTTATGAGTCAGTTAAAAGCTTAATCTGTTTATTAAAAAGTAACATAAATACAGCACTTTGGCAACACATTTATTATGGAAGAAGACATATAACAAGAATCATAAATAAAAGTATTAGCCTGTCCCCAAAACAAAACTCAAAAGATATAAAAGCCAGAGTAGATGCGAAATAAGTGGAAATAATTGCTATTTTACAGCATTTATGCTCTCAAAGTCTTGTAATTCCTTTGAAAAATGTAATTACCGCTGAATGATCCACAGCATTCCTTGCTCATTTGCATTCTTCTCTTTTGCAGGCAAATGCCCACAACCCTGTCGAAACGGAGGTAAATGCATTGGTAAAAGCAAATGTAAGTGCTCCAAAGGTTACCAGGGAGACCTCTGCTCAAAGCGTAAGTACCCCATACCCCTAATCAGGGTTAAGGGATGGTTAAGCTAGCAGTAGTCTCCTACTCATAACTTCTGTGCCTACTGCATGTTACCTAGGCATCAGGGATAACCTTTCTTCACTGGCACATGTGTGCTTCCTATGTAGACCAAAGGCGTTGCGTGAAATCCATGCATGTAAAAAAATTTACACACTCAACGCGTGCAACTGAATGTTTTAACTATTAGAGGTTCCATAAGGAAAATAAATTTCCATTGCCTGACAGTTTCAAAATCCTACTGAACATCTTTTGTGAATGAGAAACATTCACGGCTTTAGCTTTGAGATCCAATCTCAAGACTTTTTTCAAAAAAGTCCAAAATTGGCCGGGCGCGGTGGCTCACAACTGTAAATCCTAGCACTCGCGGAGCCGAGGCGGGCGAGTTGCTCGAGGTCAGGAGTTCGAAACCAGCCTGACAAGAGTGAGATCCGGCCGGCGCGGTGGCTCACGCTTGTAATCCTAGCACTGTGGGAGGCCGAGCGGGCGGATTGCTCCAAGGTCAGGTCTCGAACCAGCCTGAGCAAGAGCGAGACCCCATCTCTACTATAAATACAAAGAAATTAATTGGCCAACTAATATATATAGAAAAAAGTTAGCCGGGCATGGTGGCGCATGCCTGTAGTCCCAGCTACTTGGGAGGCTGAGGCAGGAGGATCGGTTGAGCCCAGGAGTTTGAGGTTGCTGTGAGCTAGGCTGATGCCACGGCACTCACTCTAGCCTGGGCAACAAAGCGAGACTCTGTCTCAAAAAAAAAAAAAAAAAAAAAAAGAGTGAGATCCCGTCTCTACTTATAATAGAAAGAAATTAATTGGCCAACTATATATATATAGAAAATATTAGCCGGGCATGGTGGCGCATGCCTGTAGTCCCAGCTACTCGGGAGGCTGAGGCAGGAGGATTGCTTGAGCCCAGGAGTTTGAGGTTGCTGTGAGCTAGGCTGACGCCACGGCACTCAGTCTAGCCTGGGCAACAAAGCGAGACTCTGTCTCAAAAAAAAAAAAAGTCCAAAATTGACTTACAGCTAGAGATTGACTTAGGGGATGAAGCCAAAACTAACACATTCTAAAGAATGGCAAGAAAAGCAGCTATGTAATTCTGTTGAAAAATGAAAGCTCAGGAAATATTCTTTTTACCTCCTTTGATTCTAGCTGTCTGCGAGCCTGGCTGCGGTGCTCACGGAACCTGCCATGAACCGAACAAATGCCAGTGTCAAGAAGGCTGGCATGGAAGACACTGCAATAAAAGTAAGTGGGAGCCCAGCTGCCGAGCCAGCCTTTCTGCATCTGCTTCCTGGCTCTAAAGGCTAATAGATAACCCATACTCAGCCTTGCTTTCCATTTCATTATCAGCAACTTCTCCTTCTTTGCCTCTTCCACCCCACACTCCCCGGCCCCTCTCTAACTTTGGAGTTTAGGCATTAGAGTGTAAAGAGTAACGCGTCGTTGTAAAACATCACCACATCTGTAAAACATCACCACATCTGTAAAATATCACCACAAGTCTTTTCTAGGTCAAATTAGTAATACAGGTTGGTTTGGGGTAATACAGTATGTTGGCTATGAAAGAAATGACAAGTGAAGTTAAGATTTTAAATCAAATGTACAATCGGTATCTACTTGCCTCTGATTTTATAATTCAGGATTTATCAACTAGCATATAAAACATGAAGAGTTTTGCTTTTACAAACCTATAAATTGTATTGGTTATAATAAGTTTTAAATGACTTCTTTTGAGGGAAAGAAAAGGTTTATGAAGCCCTCTATGGGAGAGATGTTAGAATGGAGTTGTGTTTTTTTCAAATTTACTGACTACCAGAAGTGAGTTAACTATGTAACTAAACCACTGGCCTTTTTATACACCAAATGAAACTTGCTAGATTCATTTAACATTAATTGGTGTCTCCTCTATGCTAAGCATGAAGCCAGGCATTGGGGACACACCAGCACACAGATAGAAAAGGCCCTGCCTCATGGAGTGCAGATTCTAATGGAAGAGTCCATTAGCACATGAACAAAACAATGCAGTTTTAGTGAATCTGCCAGCTAGAACTTGGTCTTCTAAGCCTGGGCCCACTGACTACTTTACTTTGAAGAAAGGAAGACTTCAATCATACAATACTTTTCACTAACACAATTCCAAGTTGTGTCTATCACATGGCATCTCCAAAATAATGGATACCAATTGATCCAATCACACATCAGATGTTTTTTCTAGATCAGTGGTCTCCAAAAGATGGTATATGCAACCTAGTGAATATGGAAATTACCACTTGGAGTGCTAAGGGAAAATACTAGTTTTTAACTATTTTTAAAATGTTATATATCTATATATACATATTTAATACATAAATATTAATATCAGTTTATTACAGTCTTTCTAACATAATTTTTCTTTATATTTTATAGTGTTCACGTGTATATAATTTCTATGTAGGTATACATCTTTGTTTACTTAAAGTATGTTCATGTCTGGTCCATGCTTCACTAAGCTATTGATTTGATTCTCTTTCACCCACTGAATTGACTGGATGATGGATTAAATGGGCTTCAGGTAGGCACAGTTTAGTAAGAGCAACTCCTCTAGAAAATAGCTCTTCACACAGTGGTAATAATGGTTGAATGGCATCCCTGCTAGGACATACTTACGGGGAGATCTTCTTTGGACTAAAAGACCTGTAAAGAGCACCATTTCTAGAGCCATTTTGGAAAAGAGTAAACCAAACCCTATATACCACCCTCAACTGGATGTAAACCCCAAGTCTTGTCCCAGAATCACTTTAAAGTAACTCTCCTGAAGCCCTGGGGCATGGGGATAACCTCAAATCAGACCACACATCCCAGGACTCAGTTACCAAGGTCTGGGACTCACATCTGGGACCTGGTGATCACCAAGAGTGATGGGGGTGGGGGAAGTGTTCCCTCCAGCGCCCAGTCCCTCTTCCAAGAGGCAAGTTAGGGGCCTTGTGCGGTAGAGATGAGCGCTTTCCACAGACAGGTCTGCCAGCCTCCAAATAATGCCCCACTCATGGACCACGCTGCTGGAAAGCCTCTGCCATCAGTGCGCCTCCTTCCGATCAAAGCATTGCATGCCAAGAAGATGCCCTGGTGCTTGATTAAAGTGCAACCGTGTTTCCCAGGAGAGGCCACCGAGCCGTTTTGTATTACCTAAGAGAATCGAGCTGAACGAATGGGGTTTATGTTGATCCTAGGGAAGTGACAAGGAAGCTCTGAGACACAGAGTTCTGCTAAGAACAGATTCCCAATGGGGGAACATGTTGGGAGGTCACAGGCACCCAGGCATCGTGGTGGGGAGGAGGATACTGGGGACAAATGTCCCTGCAGAGGCTCACCCTCGACAGCTCCTTGGGTGGCAGGCCGATCAGCATGTTAGGGATTTATTCCAGCACACTGTTGGCTCGGTTTTTGACTAATCCATGAACTAGCCTACATACTGACAGTTCAAAGAAACACATTCAGGAGAAAAAAGTATTCTGTTCTCAGTAGCTGTATAACGGCACACTTGCATTTTAAAACCACAAGGAACAAACGAGTGCCGAACTTGACTCTGATGCACAGGAAGATGAAGGCAGAGTTTTAGAATGCAATTTGCTGCCTTGGATCAGTTTTAGAAAATCAGAAATGAATCTCTGCCCCAAGCATCTCTCTAAGTTCACAAGTAGGAAGATGTGTTACATTCCACTTAGAAACAGAGCTATAAACAGACAGATGCCCACATCCCCACTGATAAGGTGTCAGTAGGTCTCTAACACATGTCATGGAAGTCCTTAATCCTTACAAAATTCCTGTTTTGTATAAGTGCACTAGCCGCACCTGATCATGTGATCTTTATGACCTTTACGTACGGAGTGGTTGTTATATCGACCTGGATCAATATGAGCGAGGCTGCATGTGCAATGCAGTGAAAAGGATCCACGACCAGACCCTGTGCAGAAGCAGTCAGCACTTCGGTGCGAGGCCCTTCCCAGCTCTTGGGTGGAGAATATCTTTCCATTCAATCCTATCCATCCAAACTTTGCATCAAGAGTTTCTGCATGACCAAAATATACAGTGAGTGAGAAGTCCGGTGGAAGCCAGATTTGATGGAGTTGGTAAAATGAGTTTCTTTTAACAGAGATCTTGATCCTGTAACAGCTTTTCGTTCAGGTAGCTTTTTGTGGTCACTATGGTTTTTCAATCTGGGTTGAAAAGGCAAAATGGATTTCGTTTGAATGGTTAATAATGAATCTGAAGAGCCTGTTTTTGTAGTTTCTTTTCTTTTAAGCTGTGAATAATTTTGCAGGGTACGGAGCCAGCCTCATGCATGCCCTGAGGCCAGCAGGCGCCCGGCTCAGGCAGCACACGCCTTCACTTAAAAAGGCCGAGGAGGCGCGGCGGGACCCACCTGAATCCAATTACATCTGGTGAACTCCGACATCTGAAACGTTTTAAGTTACACCAAGTTCATAGCCTTTGTTAACCTTTCATGTGTTGAATGTTCAAATAATGTTCATTACACTTAAGAATACTGGCCTGAATTTTATTAGCTTCATTATAAATCACTGAGCTGATATTTACTCTTCCTTTTAAGTTTTCTAAGTACGTCTGTAGCATGATGGTATAGATTTTCTTGTTTCAGTGCTTTGGGACAGATTTTATATGATGTCAGTGGATCAGGTTAAAATTTTGTCTTTTCAGTGTGTAGTTGGCAGATATTTTCAAAATTGCAACGCATCCATGGTGTCGAGGGGCTGGGAAACATTAGAGAGGTTAAATTGGGCAAAAATGCATAAATCACAAGGGTTTGGATGAAACCTTTAGTAGTGTTAAAGTTACAGCATTTCAAATTTCATCATCATATATTTAGATATTTGTCGCATTTTTAAATTGCCCTTATTTTTAAACTCTCAAATACAACATATTTTGACCTTTCCATTCTTCCAGAGAATTCAGTATTAAAAAAAATATTACACTGTGGTAGTGGCATTTAAACAATATAATATATTGTAAACACAATGAAATAGGGAATATAATGTATGAACTTTTTGCATTGGCTTGAAGCAATATAATATATTGTAAACAAAACACAGCTCTTACATAATAAACATTTTATACTGTTTGTATGTATAAAAATAAAGGTGCTGCTTTAGTTTTCTGAGTGTCGTGTGGAATGGCCTTTGCATGTGTTGTCTTATGGAAATAAGTTAGTTGCAACTTAGTGGTAGCTAATACTTTGCAGTACCCAAAAGAAGATATTCCATTCTCTGAACCTGCCTTAGCTTGCTAGCCTCATCTCCTCCCAGCTGTCTGTACTCCCCGTGCCACACTGCACCCTGTCGTCTCTGCCTACGACACTATTTAAGTCAGGTCTCAGCTTAGTTGTCATTTCTCTCAAGAAGTCCTCTCTAGCAAGCATGTGTTAAATATCCCATTAGTGCAAGGCTTTCTAAGACTTTCTAAAGTGTCAGAATGTCACAAATGAAAAGTGCTGCCATGTATTCATTGGCTGAAATTGGGGCCGTTGGGACAGAAATGATTTTATAAAGGTTTACTGAAACACGAATAGGAGGATCAACTCAGGAAGACACACCAAACAAAGTTGAGGGTGTCTGGGAGCCTGTCACAGGTTGAAAGGTTTTTATAGGAAAATTTGAAAGAAGGGAGGGGGACTCCTCATATAGCAATTGTCCTTTTTGTTGGAGGGTACGATACAGAAGTTACAAGCATTAGCTGCAGATTACATAATACAAGCTAAAATAAAATCTATGTGCAAGGTAATCCGTAGAACTTCATGCTTCAACTAGTCCTCAAATAAATTAGCACCCTATAACACCCTATTCAATGTCAGCAGGTTATACACTGATCAGTATATCAACAATTTGAGGAATTTAAACAATAAAATTCTTTACTCAGAGGCAGAATGTTGCCATGGAGTCACAAGAACTCCCCAAGGTGGGTTAGTTTGGAAGTCTGCTTAACATAGTGTGACCTATAGGTTATCCTATTAAAAACCTATTGGTTCCCAAGTATATTATATGTGTTATGTTACAATCCTATGGGGCAGGTATTCTTATGCCCTTTTATGAATCAGGAAACTGAGGCTTGGAGATGTGATTTTTCCAAGATTTCATGTGTTAGGGACATGCTTTGACTCCGTTTCTTCTGACTCCAAAGCGTTAACGCTATGCTGCCCTCCTGATCTCCCTCCTTCCTTTTTCTTGGCAGATACAGTAAAACACAAAACTGCACAAATCCTATAGAGCAACTTTCCGACGTATGTTATTCTTCTCATTCTCCCAGGTGCATGTGGACTTTATTTTATAGATAATGTAACGTCTATAGGCTTTCTTCCGAGAGGGTGTGGCGAGATCAGTTGTGTGATGTAAGGAGGTGACATGTTGACGGGAAGGGATCAGGGGAGAGGCTGAGGCAGAGGGAATGCATCTTTTGGTGCAGTGCTGGACACAGCGACCTTTCTCCTCTAACTGGCTGGAGCCCAGAGTGTCAGCCTGGGGAAACTTGGCAAAGCAGGCCAGGAGCCAGGGGCCCAAACCTGGGATCTAATGTGAGAACAAAACGCATTTATTTAAACCTTTTAGGTAAGAATCCAGATGCATGATAATGAAGATCTAAGATGATGGTAGGGAGTTAAAGTTTGGTGATAGGATAATAATAACAGCTAATACATATAGCGGCCACTTTATTCTAAACACTTTGCTTGTTTTAACTAATGGATAAATTATACAATGGTGGGGAAGTTAGACTGAACACAGAGCAACAAATTGCAGTAATCTAGGTTGGTCATTTCCAAACCATTTTAACTGCATATTCTATTAGAAATTTTTAGCACATAGTCCTAGATACGACCACTATTTATTTATATGGATAACTACTAATATATGCATTATAAAAGCTAGAACTATAAAAGGAAAAGATAAAAATATAAATAAAGACACTAATATTTTCTTCACTTACTCAAAACATGATTTTTTTTGTACACCCCAAAGTGCACACACACCCCATAGGACACTTCGGGTAAAGGGGAGAGGTGATAAGCTCTGAAATGGCTTCGGGTCAGAGAGGAGAGTCTGAAATCAAGGGAGATTTCAGATCTAAGCAGGGGACTAGATGACCAGTTGAATGTAGGGGTTAAGAATAGAGAGGAATCTGGACAGTGGTGCTAATGACCGAGACAGGGAAAAAGGAAGAAAAAATGAGTATTTCCAGGGATGTTTAATTTGGTTTGAAGATGTCAAGTTTTAAGTGCCTTTGGGATATCTTGTTGGAAATGCCCAGTAGGCACTTGGAAATACGTTAGGAGTTTAAGGCCAAAATTTGTTCATTAGTCATACTATAAACGAGTAATACTAATTATATATTGAATTACTTTTAATAAAAATACACATATGAGCTTTATTTGGTAAGGTGTAGTATAATTCCCCTGTGGTTTTTTTGGTGCTTCTAGAGTCTATATACAGTTAATGTCCTTTGCTATTTACCTATATCTATGTGTATTTATATATAAAACAATATGGTCCTTACTATTTGGCAAATTGAGCACCAAATGCCCCCAGCCACCATATGTATTGTAAATCTTCATCCAAAATATATCCATCAGTTACTCTGTTAATTTATGTAGGACCACAACAATGGAAGCCAGCTCTTAAAACAGAGGCCAGTAACTGTTACTTTGCGGGGCATGAAATCATTGTTACTCTTAGGAAGTTACCATACAAGGAAAGGTGGAGGGGAAGGAAGAGGAAAAAGAGGGAAGAGGAGGAGAGTATCTGCATAAAACCTCTCTAAACAAGAATTTAAAAGTTAAAGCAGTAAGGAGTGAAGGCAATCTGAAAAGATGTAGATTTTCCCTTCGGCAAGGGAAAATAAGTAGGAAAAATGAAGCAAAAGGAAATAAAGGCTAGACAACAAAATGAGTTGAGGAAGGAGGTTAGGCGGAAAGACACACGTGAGCTCCTGCACCCTTGTGAGAGGTGGGCCGACCCTTAGCTCTAAGCTCTGACCCTACTGCTCGAAGAGGAAAGCAGGGCTGGCTGTGAGTCGCAAAGACCATAAACACAAAAACCCACGGCCAGAAGTTAGATTACAAGGCACTTCCACTAGGGCTGGATCAAAAGGTGTAGGTCTGTGGGGAAGCTACTTTTTTGGCATCCCTTTGAGTTGATAATCTTTAAAAGACCTCTTCCACATTTATTGACAGAGTAACTGCACAAAAAAGAGTTGAAAAAGAAGGGTTGCTGGCAGAGTTCAGCTTCCCATCCACTATCCCAAGGCATTTGTCTCCAGCCCTAAAATTCTTTGCCCCCCTCAACAAACAAAAGCTCAGGGAAGTCTAGCCAAGCTACTCAGAGGGAAGATTATTGAGCATAGTGTTCCTTGAGCATGTTCCTTCAAATTCTTAACACCACTCCAATGGCTTCTCAAACTATTCCCTTCAACCATACACAGTACTCTTTCCAACAGGAGTTTTGGTGACTAGAGTTTTTCCCCAACTCATTCCGTGTCCACCGATTCCTATGACATAATGATACGCTAGCCGTGGTCCCAGATGAGCTAGCCCTGAAGCCAGCTCTAACTGGAAACATAGAAATGTCTTCTATGGGTTCTTGTAAAGAGGTCAGCATCATGCAATGCACGATGCTGTCAGTATTGTGGACAGAGTAATAAGCCTGTTGCTCTTCCTATTCTTCAAGAAGGCACAAATCTTCACTATGAAGTACAGCTTAATAAAAGCATGTCCACCAAGGTAGCAGAGGGGAAGGGGAAATAGTGAGGTGAGTAATTCTTAAATTATGTAAAGGAGAAATGTTGCCATTTCAAAAGAATTCCCTAAGGCAATAAAAAAAAAGAAAGAAAAGGAAAAAAATGACTGTGCAAAAGACAGGAGTTTTGTCACAATAATTATTAGACAGTTTATGCAAGTGGTACAAATATAAAAATTTAATAAGCACGTTGAACAAATGCCCTCCATATGGTTCCACATAAAAAAGTAGAAACCGTATACAGGAAACAGATATCATTAACCAACGTATTCAGGTGTTCTGCACGATTTTTAAAAATTCTAATGTCAACTCCAAATGTAAATTGATTTTGCACCCATTTACTGGTTTATTGTTGATAAGAGCATAAAAATTACAAATGAAAAATAATTTTTATTAAACTTTGGCATTTCAGGATTTTTCCTCGGCAACAGATTTATCTTCCTAATCACGTTCAGCTTGCACAACTGTTGAAATTACCTGACATTTCTTGAAAGTTTAAACCAACGAGAGGTCCATGGGGTGGCAAGAAAAAGCTACTCAAATGACAAGTAATCCACAACATCCACAATAGGATCATTAAAAGTGGACTCATTGCAGGGCGAATGATCAGCTTGCTCACAAGAGTAGGACGAATCACTGGCCGTGGGCCTGGGGCTGGATCTGAGGCCATGGCTGGGAGAGAAAAACAAGAAGAAAGCAGACAGCCCTCGCCAGCTATAATTTGCAAGAGAAACTGGCTATGGAATTGGAGGGGCAGGGAGGAAAATGAAAATGTGGGGCCCCTTGTTCAAAAAGTCTTAGGAATTTCAAGAGAGTGACAACAGAACATCAAACCAAGCGTGAGGTCCTTCTTAGAGCAGGGCCCTGTGCAACTGTGCAGTTCACACTCCCATAAAGATTTTAGGTCCACGTATGAGGAAGTTCAGGTAAACTGCAAAGCATCTTCCTCTCTTAGGTGCTGGCCACATACTTTCCTTGCCTTTCCGCTCTCAACTTCAGCCTCCCGGCTGACTGTATTGACCCAGCCTTGGGAACAGAAGAATCATTAGGCATGCGGTCAGTTAAGTCAGTGACCATTTTCTCAATTAATATTGCAAACACACAATTAAGAAAGAAAGTCGAGGGCAAATGAAGGGGACAAAAAATTTATTTGCTTTATGTTTCATTCCAGTCAAATTCTTTGAACCTCTGTGGTTGCTTAGGAAAGAAAAAAATTGTGGCCGTAAGTTCATAGCTCACAAGGAAAAGATATTTTCAGAATTCTGTGAACAACCTATTTTAACCCAAAAGATAATTTTGGCGTATTCCAACTTCTAGCTGTTGTTCTTTATTAGAAGACAGAAACACACAGAAACCTGCCTAAACTGAGATCTTAAGA